ATTATACTAGCATCACCTTGAACTAGCTCTCCAATTAAATCAAATCAATGTACAACATCTCACCAATCCCACTGTAAATATAACTTTATTATGCAGCCTAATTTAATGCTCTTATTTCTCTTCTATTTGTATTCTAATCTTTAAAGGCCAATCTGGATTTTAAACTGACATTTCCCAGAATTATATTCCTAACACTGATCCAGTTTGTTTGTGGGGTTTTCATCAGATGAAGAAAACTGCACTCCAGTCACATGTCTGATTGGTATAACTAAATCATTTTCCTTCTGCCTTGATGACAACCTAGAATCTCAAAGTGCTTAAAACATTAATTAATCCTCACAATCCCTCTCCCTGTGCAAAGTAGGTAATATGAATATCCTCCTCGTTTTACAGATGGGGCATTCTTTGAAGTCCAGTGAAAGGTTAGCACTTCAAAGGTGATGGATCCAGTACAAAGCATAGCACTAGAGTTGCATTTAAAATAGCAAACTTGGCAGGTTAAGCCACAGTACATTGTAGTCTATAGTGTCAACAGCTTTATTTCATAAGGGGGACATGATAGGGCCAAATTCATTGCTGGTGTAAGCAGGCATGACTGTGTTGACTTTAACTGAATTGCAGCTGCCAGCTGTGAGCTTGGCCCATGGTACATAGACTCTTATGAGCCTGAGCATATATTGTATGGCTTTTTCTTTGACAAATACGCAGTCTCAGTGAGTACAGACAGCATGTCATGCTCCCTTTTCAACTTAAGAGTTTCCTATTGATTTCTTGCTACCACAAGCAAAGGGGAGACTTTCCATAAGCAGTCCTTCTCCCTGACACATCCAAGTGGTTTTCTCTGTCACCAGGAACTGGACAGGAAACTGTGCATGGGCATCTATGCGTCACAGCCTCAGTCAGGCTGCATGCCAGAGTTCCAGCAAGCCAGAGAGGGACTTGCTTGATAGAAGGTTAAAGGAAAGTTGTAAACTTAATTTTTTGCTTGGGACAAATATACTCACCGCTAAAAAGGCAGGGCTGATGGCAACCCAGCAGACCTTCCAGAATATCCCTGGGGTGAAGCCCAGCATGGCTTTGACATCATTACAGAACCTCTGAATTCCTGTACGGGGGGCAGGAAAATCACAGACATGGTGTCACTGTCACAGCAGGGAAGAATCAGGCAGCACATGCAGAGCACAGGACTTATTTAGAAAGAGTTTCATGAAAGTGCTGGGAACTGCTGCACAGGTAGGTGGCCATTGTTGGCCCCAGCCATTGAACGATTCATGCCCATGTAAACATTTATACAGGAGGAGTCCATTGAAGTCACTGGAACTTATGTGCATAAAGTAAAGCACGTGTGTATGTCTTTGCAGGATCATGACCATATGTTATTCTGGTGCATAATATAAGCCTAGTTGTGGAGATGGATTTTTTTTCTCCTTACCATAAAACCACGACACAGCTATTGCTTCCAGTAACACCACCGCCAGGATTGAGCAGCCGGCACCAAATTCCTCCAGCAGTTTGACAACGTACGCTCCACCCTGGAATGACAAACACAAGCAGGCTGTGATGGCTTGTGGCTCTTACGTGGGAAGTGCAATGCTGAACTTTAGCCAGGGCCGGCTCCAGGCACCAGCTTGCCAAGCAGATGCTTGGGGCAGCTGCTCTGGAGAGGGGCGGCACGTCCAGCTATTCGGCAGCAATTCGGCAGACGGTCCCTCACTTCCGCTCGGAGCGAAGGACCTTCCGCCGAATTGCCGCCGCAGATCGCAATCCCGGCTTTTTTTTTTTGCGCCGCTTGGGGTGGCAAAAACCCTGGAGCCGGCCCTGACGTTAGCCACTTCTGTTGCACTAGTTTTCTCAAGCATTCCATTCACACTGACACCAACAAGCCCCATGTGGTGCTTGGGCATGAAGGGGTTAAGAACAAAATGAAGGAGACTTTTTTCTCTCCCTCTAGGTATGGGCTCAGGTGCGAGTCATGGAGCTGACTGATTGAGGGAGTCAGTATAAAGGGAGTCTGCTGGGACAAGTTAAGAGGAGCTAGGTGTAAAACAAGGGAGAGAAGAGTTCTGTTACGCCTCCGCCCCCCACGTAACAGGAACATACCAACAAAGCAGGATGGGCTCTGAAAAGGAAAACAAGGACACTTCAAATGACTAGAATGTTTTAAATGTGTCAGCAAAATAGCTGATAATGGAGAACCAGCTGATCAAGCTTATTTGGACTTTCTCAAAGCCTTTGACTAAGGCTTGGTCTACACTAAACCCCCAAATCGAACTAAGGTACGCAACTTCAGCTACGTGAATAACATAGCTGAAGTCGACGTACCTTAGTTCGAACTTACCGCCGTCCAGACCCGGCAGGCAGGCTCCCCCGTCGACTCCGCGTACTCCTCACGGCGAGCAGGAATACCAGAGTCGACGGGGAGCACTTCTGAGTTCGATTTATCGCGTCCAGACAAGACGCGATAAATCGAACCCAGAAGTTCGATTGCCTGCCGCCGAACCAGCGCGTTAAGTATAGACAAGCCCTTAGTCCCACACTCAAGGAAACTAATTAGTTTTGAGGTGAGGGGTACAGCTGTGTTATGAACTGGCTAAGAGACATGAACAAAACCAATCGCAATAAATGACCCATAGTGGTTCCCTCAGGTTTGGGCTAGGTCTGTTGTTTAGTATATTTATTAATGATCTGGGACATGGCATAAAAAGCAAGGTAGCAAAATTTGCAAGTGACTCAAAATTAACCAAGCCAGTTGAGGGTGGAGAAGGTTGTGAAGAACTCCAGAGAGACCTTCCCAAGCCAGGCGAATGGGTGGTGCAGTTGCAGATGAAATTCAATGTTGACAAATGCAAAGTCATTCTGATTGGAAAAGATGATCTGAACAGGGCTCTATGTTCGCTGTAGCCAGTTTTCATGGCTGAATTTTTTGCAAAGCCTGTGATGTTGGGCCTGCAGAGGAAGGAGGTAGCATCTAATGTGGCTCAGGCTTACTCACGTGCGTAAGGGTGGTGAGAGAGCCTAGAAAGCATATGGTGATGAGGCCAAGTACGAACAGCTCTCTTCTCTTTGCTAGGATGTGAGGGTATTCGTCCATTACCGCTGTGATCACCGCTTCCAGGCCTCCAAACTGCAAAAGCAGCCAGATAAGACATTTGGGTGAGCCAGAAAAATGAAGCACAGGGTGAAATTCTGCTCCTGGTGCAATCCCATTAATGTGTATGTTGGTTCATTAGCTTCATTGGTCTTTTTTGTGATTTACACCCACGTAACGGAGAGTAAAATTTACCCCTCCCCAGGGTTTGATTTACAGTTTCCTGCGCAGTTGTTATCAGCTGTGGGGAACGTGGTTTACCAGGGTTTATTTTCACATTTTTAAAAAACAATCATGAAATCTTATAATAAATGTTCAAATGAAATGAAATTTATAGAACATGAAAACCTTTTTATTTTTTATTTTGGTGAAAACTTTTACATTTTTGTTTGTTCCCATTTTCTTAACCAGCTGTACCAAAGCTCAAGTTCTTCTGGCATCTTGGGGGCTTGTAAGGAACATTGATAGGCCAAGTAACACCAAATAGCAATAGGGCCTGATCCTGAGACATGCTGAGCACGCATTGCTCCCACAGCTTGCAGGAAGTATTGATCAAGACCCAGTCCTAGTTCTTTTGAAGCCAATATTCTACTCACTTGGACTTTGGGGGAAGCAGGATCAGGCCCTTACTGAACAGAGAAGAATCAAAGACATGTTGAGTTCATCCATACCTGGGTCATATTTAGAGAGGTACAGACGGCATATTCTTTGTTACTGTTCCTGCCCCCCCCACCTGTGCACCCCCCAATTTTGAATGCTATATAGCAATGACCAAAAGTGCCACCCCAAAGTAACCCTTCTGGGAGCGAGGGGCCTGGAACGTACAATCATGACTTTCTTGGATCATTTTGCTCTCGCCCCATAGGGAAATCAAAGTACCTACCGTGCTGTCCAGCCCCAGAGTAATCATCATGAGGAAGAATATGATGGCAAAGAAGGTCGAGCCCACCATATTTGCGATGGCCTCAGGGTAGGTGATGAAAAGGAGACTCGGACCTAGAAGGGAACATCAGGTTATTTCCTTCCATCCGGTTGCTATGAAAATAGTCTGTGTTATGAAAGTCCCAGGGCATCTGCCTTCTGCTTATGATGATTTTCTTCCCATGCCGGAAAAACATTTAGGTGGAGATTTTCAAAGGCACGAGGGGCAGATAAATGTCTGTGAAAATCTTGCTCTTACTCAACCCTGCCAGGGGTTACCAGTCTGGGATTTCCCTTCCCGGATTGCCAGGCATTCCATCCCCTCTTGTGGCAGGTTATTCCACTGCCCAATTGACCTCGCTCTTGCTTAGTCTAATCATTTCCCCTTTGGCATTACTGTCTCTGTAGTCACCAATAGTGGGCACCACACACAGTAGCTCCCTAACTTCACCCCACGTTTGTTAGCTTGCAGAGGATCATATTCTGTCCCCACTTGCAGCCGTGTGACTCCAGCACTTTGACACTTCTAGGAAAGCTCCAACCTGAGTCGTGGTCTGGAATCTGAACGTTCATGCAGTGATCACTGTACTGACACATATCATTTAAGCCCTGTGAGGTCGGTGAGAATTGTCTTTCCTTACGATAGATGGGGACATTTGAGGCTCAGAAAGGGGAAGTGACTTGCCCAGGGTCATAGAGCAAAGCAAGGGACATAACTCAGATCTTGATGCTCAAGATGCTGGTTTCACCCCCCAGTCCCTAATGCATGGCTCCAGACAGGCAGCTGGCTGATATCCAGAGCTGGCCAGGGCTAAGGGGAAGGGGCTATTCCAAGGCTAACAGGTGTAAGGGAGGCAAACCTTTATCTTTTGCTACATCTTCCACCTCCACGTCTCTCATTTCAGCCATGTAGCCCAGCACTGTGAAAATGACGAACCCCGACAGGAAGCTGGTCAGACAGTTCACCGCGCTGGTGACTATGGCGTCTCTGGAAGGCAGAACGGGAGCGGGTGACTAGAAGGACAAGGTATTTCAAAAACCATTTTTGCATTTGCATTTCTAGCCCCAGTACCTAGAGGCCCAAAGCCTTCCCCTTATCCCCCTCCCCAAAGAAACCATAAAGAGTAAGAGCTGTAAAAGTGAGGTTTAGTTTGCTCACATCATGAGGCACAAGAGGGATTCATTCCCATGTGCCTGAGTGGCCAGGACTGCTGCTGCTTCCAGCTCTGGAGGCAGGATTCATGTTTGGGAAGGACAACTCTGCTTGCTTAGGAATGAACAAAGAGCCGGACAGAATTTCCTTAAGCACCATGGGGTAGGGCACCCACAGGGGTAAGTGCTGGGATTTGGATTGTACCTGGGGAGTCCAATCTCTGGGACACTGTCAACCAGCCAGGAGCCAGAGGGCTGCCCCTGCTCTGTGCAGAACAGAGTAGGCTTTACACTGTCGGAGTTGGGATTAGCGCTCCGAAGTGCCTGGCCGCTCCTCTCTCAGGGAGGTTCTCATAGATTGCACATCTGGGAGTTTGGATCCTGCAGTGACAATTGGTTTGAGGCAGCCCTCTGTCCAGGTGACAGCATTGTCTCCCCTGGTGCTGGGATGAGAGCACTGAATAATTTGGGGAGCTGGCCCTGCCTGTTGGGGGTGTGACCGATATGTGCAGAAACAGCGTAGAAACTGGTTCTTTCTGGAGGGCAGAGACAGTTCTAAGACCCACCCGGCTGAGCAATCCCATGAAAGCCCCCAGTGCCCTCTGGGAATCCACTGGAAGGTGCCTGACTGCTTAGAAGCAGCATTCCCAGGCAGCAGAGCAGTGGCTGCTGATACCCTCCCCCCCAGTGCATGGGAGTGAGAGGGAAGCTGGAGGCCCTGGGCAGAGGCTCCCATCCCACTGCTTGGGCTCACTGTCCTGCCAGATGTGGCTCGGGGCGCACTGCGTGATCACATAGGCCTGGCACTTTCAGGGGTAGTTTTGCTCAGGCAGAGGCCCAGCCGCCCTTCTGCAGGGGCAATTTGTGCCTTCAAAACGTGCCCCTGCACCTTTGTACCCGGCAGAGATTAACTGGGAACCCCGTTCTAAGAGCTTGCTCCTCCGGCTCTTCCGTTTGCACGGGAGGCAGTGAGGAGCCCAAGGACTAGGCAAGAAGGGGGACAAGTGGCAGGCCCGCGGGAGGGAGCCTGCCCCATGCTAGCCTGTGCAGAGATGTGGGTGAGTTTTCTGTGTGTTCTGCTGCACATGGGAGGCTCGGCTCACATTCCTGCTGCTGGCTAGTCTGCCAGGGCAGAGTTCGCGGTCTCTTACCGGTAACAGTTATTGTTGAAATGGTTGTAACTGGCGAGTGCGAGAAGAACACCAAATCCAGGGCCCAAGGAGAAAAAGATCTGGGCAGCAGCATCAACCCAAACCTGGCCAAACAAGCAGAGATGCTGGGTTAGAGGCAGGAGAACGGGTGGATCCCAGGGGCTGTGACCCGGCCAGGAAGCCCCTCTCCCAAACACACACAGGCCACCTCCCACTTTCAGGGAGACAGCAGCATGGGGTGTGAATGTAGGCACCACAAATAGGTCAGCTCCCTTTGCGTTCTCTCTGACCCCCAGGCCGTGTGTAACGGAGTGCAGCTCTAACCGTCTGTTTCTGAAATGTGCCTTTTGCCTCATTTTGAAAGCGCAGAAAAAAATCCCAGGTTGGCCAGGCTGCCTGTGGCACTGTGCCTTATATGTGTGTCTGCTCTTCACTGGGCCCGTCTCCGCTGGGCAGTTACATCACTGTGGAGTGTGGCCCAGAGGAGGGGTGGTAACTAACATGGTATTACGCGCAACTGCGTATAGCCAGGGTATCATGTCAGCAGGTCGTGGTTAGCCCCAGGGAGCAAGCAGCTGCTCCAATGCTGAACGCTCCATGCTAGATTCTTGTTTACCCTGTGGCTCCTCTGCCCCACTCTCGCAGTGCCGACCGGTGTTACATGTGTAAATGTAATAGATCCCATGCAGCTCAGGGACCGGCTTTAACACAATGTGAGGTCCCAGGGCAGACAAGCCCTGGGGTTGTGTGTCACATTGGTGACCCCTATTTAAATATATTTCCCTGACTACTGTTTCTTGGATGTGGTTCCCTTGCTTGCCCTTGCTCCCCAATTCCTCCTGAACGGACACCCCAGACACAGGGAGGAGTTGGGGAGATGGATCTTCTAGGGTGAAGGGAAGCAGGTGTCCTTCCACGGGTAATTTAGCAGCAGAGAACTTAAGCAGTGACACCTAATTCAGCTGCAGTCTAAGCAGAGAAATCAGGATGAGAGAAGGGATGAGGATGTGAAACTGCAGCGCACCCGAACCCTCTCCTGGCATCCAGCTACACTAGGGCTTGGCTCACAGTTCCTGGAAGAAGTGATGGCTGCAGCATGATTGGTCGTGTATCTGTTATGAAAGGTTTTAATTGGAAAGTATATCACTGATTACCTTTAATGAAAATTCTCAAGTGCAGCTCTGCAGTAATTACAGACAGGAAGTCTATTGTCAGGCCCGCTTTACAAAGATGGGGCGAAAACACAGCATAAATAACACTCGACGGCAAATGAGATGGGTGATTCAATTAAAGATTTACATTTCCAAGAGCTTGTCCAGTGCGCCTCTATTTTCTGAAGGAATAATGAACCTATTACTCTCTGGTTCACAGATCTGCGCTGGGAGTCTCTGCCAAATGAATCCGCAAGCACTGGCAGCTGGGGGGGTTGGGGTGGCATTTAAAGGCAGTTGCTTGCTGAGGTGGATACAGCAGATGTACCATCATGTGGGAGGATGGGAGATCCAGCAGGTGCAATTAATGTCACATTAAGCACATTTAACGCTGCTGCTAGCATCATCTCCCTGATTGGTTTCTCTGATCACATCAGCCCCTCCCTCGGAGTCCCTCCTTCTCTACTGCATTGCTTACAAGTCTTTGTCCTTGCCTTTAGACTGGGACTGTTCAGCCTACAAAAGAGACGACTAAGGGAGGATATGATTGAGGTCTATAAAATCATGACTGGTGTGGGGAAAGTGACTAGGGACGTGTTATTTACCCCTGCACATAACATGAGAACCAGGGGTCACCCAATGAAATTAGTAGGCAGCAGGGTTAACACAAACAAAAGGAAGTACTTCTTGACACAACGCACAGTCAAGCTGTGGAACTCTTTGCCAGGGGATGTTGTGAAGGTCAGAAGTAGAACTGGGTTCAAAAAAGAATTAGATAAGTTCATGGAGGATGGATCCCTCAATGGCTATTAACCAAGATGGTCAGGGACGCAACCCCATGCCATGGGTGGCCCTAAATCTCTGACTTCCAGAAGCTGGGCCTAGATGACAGGGGGAGGATCATTTGGTAATTGCCCCATTCTGAAGGACCTGGAACCAGCCACTGTTGGAAGACAGAATACAGAGCTAGATGGGTCATTGGTCTGACCCAGTGTGGCCGTTCTTATGTTCTTAAAGGCCCCCCATGACGTAGCCCCAGCCTGTAGCTCCAGCAGTGGAAGGGCGCCGTTACCATTATGTCACACTCAGAGCAGGGCGAGGCAACGTGGCAGAAGAAGGCCTGTGCCCAGTCAACACAGTAGCCTCCAGCCTGGCTGGTGCTGGCAGAGATCCTACACCTCTGATTGTCCCTCATGTAGCCAAGAGTGTTGAGTTTGGGCTGGCATGTGTGGAGTTTACCTGTGTCTGTCCATGCTATACCTGTCCTGGGATAGACAGGCAGAGGCCTGATGTCTCCAGGGCTGTCAAGCCAGCTCTGACGTCACATAAATGGTTTAAAATATAAAAACGAAACGGAGCGTTGAACCTGTCTCAGCATCTTCCAGGCTCTCGGGTGGCTCCTGTATACATCGCTAAATACAACAAACCCCCAGTGGCAAGGAGTGCTCCTTAGCCGGTCAGAGCCTGGGCTGGGGATCTGCTGGGAGTAACTTACAGCCGTGCTCATGAGTTTCTCCCAGTCGGGTCTGAGATAGAAGACGATCCCTCTCCAAGCCCCTGGCAGAGTAGCTCCTCGAACCAGCAGTATGAGGAGGACGATGTAAGGCAGCGTAGCTGTCACCCACACCACCTGAAAGGAGAGATCGGACAAGGGTTTCAGTGACAGGAAAGACAGACGCCGGCCACTCCTCTAGGTCACATCCAGCAAAGAATTAATGCAGATATTTGCAGGGTTGTCACCAACGCTCTGTGTCAAACGGCCTCCCGTCTTTGTGTCTGAGCTGGCGAGAGAGACGAATGGAATTCAGTTTTAGCGGCCACTGTTTGGAATGATCGCTCAGCTGCGGGGTCAGAAAATGACTCTCCAAACCCCAATGACATTGGAGTCTGCCCCTGGCTCGCTGATCAGTAGTGTGGTCAGCTTAGAATGGGTTCGCTCATTGCCTGTGGCAAATGTAGGAAAGAATTTCACGCCTCCCAGGTGATGCTGTGCTGCTGAGAAAGGATGATAGATACAGCTTGTGGGGGGACTTGGTAACAACTTTGGTAGGGAAATAGCTAGATGACCTCATTTAGTCTTTGCAAGACTGAGATCTTACATCTGTGCATTCCCAGGTCTGACCTGGGAGTCGGTGGGGGAAGTTTGCTGCTCGGGGACTGTGCATGCACTGATCATTCAGATAGAACAGTCAGAACAGAGGTTGCCCTAATTGATCCTAACAACAACATTCTAGGCTATGTGCTTATCTGGAGGCCTGATTTGTGCTGATCCCCCACTGACTCCAAGTGGGCACGCCGCACAAGCGGGCCAAAACCTTCCGCCAAATCTTGTGTCAGTGAAAAATGCGGATTTGGCAACACCGAAATGTGTGGGGAATTTGTGTTGGTTTGGCTGAATTGTTTCAGTTAAAAAACAGACACAGCTTCTTAGCAAGTCAAAATGTTTCAATTTTTCAATTCAAAATTACTTTTTGTTTTGACAGTCCCTTCAATTTTGTTTTTTTTTAATTAAAACAAAACCTTAAATTCTTGAAATCAAAACAAAACATTTCATTCAACCCCACATGATTTTTTTCCCAACTTTTTGATTCACTGGAAAATTCAAAAAATTTCGTTTTGGGGTTGGAGTGAATTTTTTTTTTTACTTGCCATTGAACCAAAATATCAATTAGTTGCACAACTCTACTCAGCACTGCTGGAAATCAGGCAAGGAGGTATGTTTTTTCCTTCTGCTTCCCATTTCTTCTTCTGCAGACTGTAGTACAGCGTACAGAGAGAACCCCGCCGTTGTGGCTGGCAAGCAAGGGGTGCCCAGTTTCAAGGGCACCTTCAATTGTTGAAAGGGACTGTATTTAGCACTGGACTGGAGTGAGTAACATTGTCGGAAGCTTTGGAGCAGTGAGAACATGAGGCAGACAGACTGCAGGAGAAAACCACCTGCATTTCTTGTGGACTGTCCCAGGACGGCAGAGCAAATATGAGTTACAATCTATTGGATGAATTTTGCCTTTTTTCCTTTATTTGCAGATTGCCAGGGAGCAGACGCCAGAGTTCTCACGGGTGTTTATTGTTGAAATGACGCCCAGATTTCATGGGTGAACAATCCTTGGGCAGCAGACCTCCGGCCATGTGCAATCCCCGCTCTGCCAGGGAGTCCCATCCACTACCGCAGATCACAAACGCAGTGAATGCGCTGGACCAGGCTCCTCTGCTGAGGTGCTTGCTTGTGAAATGCAGAGCACTAGGGGGGTGCGTCTACACGGCAGGCCCTGAGGGTTAATGCACCAGGCTCTGCGTTAGCCGTATGATGCCTCTGCATTGGGAATATGAAGCTATTACTCATTCGGACACCGACAGGAAGAACAGGTGTGGGAGCCCTCCTTACCTTCCCTGAGGTTTTCACTCCTTTCCACAGGCTGAAGTAAACAATCGTGAAGATGAGAAAAAAGGCAGAGGAGAAGCTGCCAGCGGATCCCGCCGACGTCATACAGGCCACTGGATTTCTGAATCTCAAGGACCTTCCTCCTGTGGCAAAAAACCCCCCCCGGCGGCTTAGTCACTAAGGCTTGGTCTACACTACCCCCCTAATTCGAACTAAGGTACGCAACTTCAGCTACGTGAATAACGTAGCTGAAGTCGAAGTACCTTAGTTCGAACTTACCTTGGTCCACACTCGGCAGGCAGGCTCCCCCGTCGACTCCGCGGTACTCCTCTCGCCGAGCTGGAGTACCGCAGTCGACGGCAAGCACTTCCGGGTTCGACTTATCGCGTCCAGACTAGACGCGATAAGTCGAACCCAGAACTTCGATTTCCAGCCGTCGAACTAGCTGGTAAGTGTAGCCAAGGCCTAATACAAGAAAGAGGGGGAATGCTGAGCCATTGTCCGCTGGGAGGCTGATGGATTGGCCAGATCTGACACCCTGCCCCTGGCATGCACAGTCCAGAATGCCCTTCCCCAGAAGGAACATTGCTGAGTTGTGACTGACCTGTAAGAACTATGGTTGAGAGGGTAAGGCTGAAACCTGAGCACTGGGACTCCTACATGCTGCTCTTCACCCAGTCCCTGGCTCACTATGTATAAGGGCCTCAGGTGGCAAATCACGTAATCGGTCTATGCCTCAGTTTCCCTGTATGTGAAATGTGGGTAATACTACTTACCCACCGCATGGAGCAGCGGGAGCCATGTTTGTAAATCTTGCTGAGAGTCCCAAATGAAAATGTAAAGCAGTGTTATTATGTGTGTGCCTGAAATGGAAATGCCAAGGATCATTCCTTCTGCTACACTGCATAGCAGGCCCTCATGCTGAGGTGCTGTGGTGATTGGATGCCAACGAGCGAGAGATTTCCCCCAGCCCAGTCACGTAATCCACTTACATGCACTTACGTATAAAACTCTTCCGCTGGCGACTTGGAGAAGGTGGTCCAAGTCACGTTGCTCTTTCCAAAGTAGTTGGTGCAGTTGGGGGTGTTCCAGGGATTGTCACAGCTGGTCCAGGGCAGGGTACCAGTGAAGGAGGAGTAAAAATAGTACAGGGCCCAGGCGATGATGGTGTTGTAGTAGAAGGAGACGTACAGGGCGATGATGCAAATAGCAAAGCCAATGCCTGTGTAGAGAGAAGGGCAAGGTCTTTAGAGGAGCACATCATGGGATCCCTGGGAGTCAGGCAGTCCATGCACATTGGTTCTCTTCCACATCAGTCATGGCATCCCTGCATAACTCCATGGGACTGAGTGAGAGCTGTACACAGAGCACCGGATTCCAGGGATGGGGGCTTTATTCCCATGCGCTGCTAGTAGCGTTAGTTGTGTCAGGCCAGTTAATGGAGTTACATCTGGGATGAATTTGCCCTATTGTGACAGCTACTTATTTCTGTGGTTTTCCATATTTTGGACACTGCTGCTTTAAGAGGAGCAGCGGGACAGGTTGTGGGAAGGGAAATGAGAAGGGGAAGGGGTCCCGGGAGCTGGGGAGCTTGGACAGCCGTGTGCTGCAAGGCTCTGTGTGCAGGGAGGGAGGGGCAGTTGAGACATGCAAGAGGTGTTGTCTGTGAGCTATAAATATTACTGCAAATGCATCTCACAGGGGGTGACAACGTACCTACCTGCAGCAGGACTCTAATTTACCTTCATTTCTCTCCGTTTGGCAAAGCAGAGGACACAGCCCAGTAATGCTAAGTGAACGTTGAGTTTCCAGGGTGGGGGCAGGGTGTCTTACCTTTAAAGATGGGACAGATGCGTTTCCAGATGGAGATAGCTCCTGTCCTGTGAAACTGGCCCAGGGCCAGCTCCATGTAGAAGAGAGGTACTCCTCCGAAGATGGCCATCAGTGTGTAAGGAATGAGAAAGGCCCCTGCAGCGAGAGAGGCAAAACCACCACAGAACATCATGGCATCCACAGCAGCAAAGGCAGACTCACAAGCCAGCCAGATGGGTTGGGAATATCTATTTGAAACGGCATGTCCGGGCTCCAGGACTGAGTCACCGATCCTGCCCCTCTCTGAGCACGGCATGGGCCCCTGAGCTCAAATCCTGGCCCTATTGAAATCCGTGGGGGTTTTCCCATTGACTTCAGCAGAGCCAGGATTTCACCCCCAAGTTGCAGCTATGGCTTTCCTGCTACCCCACTGATATAGGACTGGGTGCACAAGGGCTCTGCACCCCTCATGGAAGCACTGGAAGAGACCTCTTCCTACACAGCCCACATCAGCATCCCAGCGCTGACAACAAGGGACCCCTTTATGTAGCAGACCCGCCTGCAAACAGGTAGGTACGTACTGATCCCCCAGCTCCCCGGGGAGTTGATGTTGGTGGAGTTACACTAAAGGTGAATTGGGCCCGTCCTCCATGCAATGTGTGGGAATGTAGATGAGAGATCGTTTACTGAGTGGGCTCAGTGTCTGTGAGAGATACTGCAAATTCTCGACAGCACTATCTGGGTACATGCATATGTGTAACCGAGCGAATGAATCAACGTTTTCTCCCTACAAGCTGTGGTAACGCACTGGCTTTTATGAGTGGTTGGATGTTCTGAAGTGTGTGTGCGATGGTGTCATTACCTGTACAGAAAGGGGCCCCTTTTAGCCAGGAACAGACGGATTGGCTGTAACACTGGGCCGTGCAGACGATCAGAAGGGAGAGAATAAGATATTAAGCACCTTTCAGGTTTTAAAGGCTCTACAGAGAAAATCCCAATGAATATGTATCGTCACTCAATGAACTCAATAATTAATGCTGTAATTTGCATTATTCATGATGATGCAGTAATTACTAGGGCTAGACTTGTGCCCACTGGATTCTTTCTAACTGGAACTGCTCTCTCTATTCATCAGACTACCCTATTGGGATTAGTTAATTTACCCCCCACGGCTCCTCTCTCTGAAAGTCCCATACCCGAGGAAAGGGCTATTTTATACTATCCAGTGCACATGTGGGGTTTTCCTTTGGATGAATGGCCACTGGCAAGGGGTCATGTAGGGAGATGTGGGCGTCACCAGAGCTCCTGTGAATGTGAACAAGGGACATTTAACTCCTTCTGCTCAGGAAGGTACGTGACTAGGCGGGGGTGAACCTGCAAAGGTGTTGGGTTCCTGCTTGCATCAGCATCCAGAAATCTGGGTACTTCTCGAAACTATCCAAGCCTCCTGCAACTGCAGACTCAGGCTGGGAATCCAAGAACAGCCTCTCACCATAGTAATTTGGTTCTGGCCTGGGCTGTAAAACGAGGACTCACTAAACACATTTTCCAAGACATCACGGTCACACTGGCCCCCAGAAAGCCAGAGGACGAAGGGGAAGATGCCTGCTCAGCAGCTGAAAGGCTGCAGTGATGTCAGATCCATGCAAGTGAAGGCACTGAAGGAAAGTGACCTGGATCTCAAGGGAATTCATGGCTATTCATCCCCACCATCGCCCCACTTCAGGGCCACAGGCTGGGCTTGAGCTACCGCAGCAGCCAGCAACAGGGACGGTGTCTTGCTAGATGTCTGTACAGCCCCAAGCACAATGGGGCCTGACCCTAAGCACAACTGTAATGTAAAGCATAGTGGTGGTAACATGAGGTCGCAGATGTAACCGATGATGCTGGGTCTCAAGGGGAAGGAGAATGGAAGAATTGTTCTGAACTTTTCATTTACAATCAGAACAGGCATTGCCATGCGGGGACTAGCGCAGATGGGATATAGAGCTTGGTTATTATTGGCTCAGCTGGGTCGTACCATTTAAGCCCAGCCCAGAGTGAGGGGCAGGGCGGAGCTGTGCTGAGCAGGGGAAGCAAAGGGAAGCATTGTACCTTGCAGATACAGAATGCCACCCAGAGCTCCAGGCCTGCAAAGGCTGAACCTGTGCAGGAGGCAGCTTATTACTCCCCAGGAGGGTGTCCAGAGGGGAAGGGGAGCTCTGGCTCCATCCCCTTTTGGAGCTCTGTGCACAGGAGCATGGGCTTATAGATTCCCTCATGGGGTCAAAAGCCTGACTCCAAAACTCAGTGGCGTCGGGCAGGGGCAAGAGAACGGGAAAGTGAAACGGTTTGTAAAGGGGAAGGCTGCCAGCCCGCGCTGTGCACAGCACAAAGCAAACAACCAGCACCCTGACAAAGTACACGGCAGCCCCACACTTCTTTCAGCTCCACTGAGCAGAGTCGTTCTTGGTAACCTGGGGAAGGATGCTTCAAAACCACGCTCGCTCTTCTGACCGTGTCCTTTCAAGCATGAGCAAACTGCGGCGACTGAGCAGGAACAAAATGGCATCTGTACCCAAACACTAGCACCTGCTACCACTGGCCACCTTTTGTAGAAGCCACGTTACCCTTTCCCAGCAGGATTTCTGACCGCAGAGTTCAAGCACTAGTCACTAAAGCTGCACTCTCAGCCCTAGTGCTGTCAGAGTGTCCATTAGCTCGAAGGGGGATGATGCTGTTTAATGACTGGCTGTTTTCAGTGACTGTAACTCCACCCTTTACAGCTGTAGATTGGAGAGGCACAAACAATCCTGTGTACAATGGTGTCCCTAGCCTCTGTTTGTCAGAAGCTGCGAATGGGCGACAGGGGATGGATCACTTGATGATTATCTGTTCTGTTCATTCCCTCTGGGGCACCTGGCATTGGCCGCTGTTGGAAGACAGGATACTGGGCCAGATGGACCTTTGGTCTGACCCAGTATGGCCACTCTTATGTTCCTATGTTTTTATGTGCAACTAGGACCCCAGAGCACCTCTTAAAGCAGCTAGAAACTAGGCTAACCAGCCTGTTGCTTGAAATATGTATTTGATAACCTGCCAGGAGCAGTAAACCCCCCGACAAGTAGCGCTGCAGCAATTCACGTGCATTTACTGGAGGTCAGCAGAAATAGTTGCATGAAATGCAAACAGAGGCATAGAATGATTGAGACCTGGTTCATGACAGTCTCTCTAGCCTGCGCTTTATAGAATCTGATCATTTGCCAAGGAAGAGAACAAATGCTGCGCACCTCTCTGTGCAAGGAAAGCAAAGGTTGCAAACTCCTGACTGAAACAAGACGGTGCTAGCGGACATTGCTATTGGTTACTTTCAGGGAGTGTTTTAAATGTTAATAAAAAAAAGAAAAGTGTTCACAGTGGACAGAATTTAAAAGTTTCCTCTTACTTTGCAGGTAACT